CCCTCGGGCAGTGCCTGAGTGCTTAAATGGTCAGTCCGCCCCTGCACCCAGGTAAAGTCACACCTTTCCACATATCTTAACCTCTAATGGTCATCTCAAAACACTGGTCAGTTTAGGTCACCAGCTGTTAAAAAAGACAGGAAGCGCCAGCTGCCTAATTCCTTCCCCCTCACCTCAATGGAGTCCTTTGAAGTGGCACCCCCCACAGAGTTATTTGTCCTTTTATGACAGCAGTTCATGAACTGAGACTTAGACCCCTATCAAAAGTTCCCAATAATGTCCATTATTATTATTATACAGTATTTATAAAGCGCCAATGGTTCGCTCAGCGCTGTACATTACAGAGGGGGACAGAACATGTGACAGAACAATACCAATACAATGCAAAACATGAGGGGATCGAGGGCCCTGCTCCTTGGAGCTTACAATCTAGGAGGGTGGGGATGGTGGCACAGGAGGAGATAGCTGTGGGGGATGGAGTGGTAGGAAGAGTGGAGGAGGTCGGCAAGTTAGCAGGGGGTGGGGTAGGCTTCCTTGAAGAGATGGGTTTTCAGGGTGCGCCTAAAGGAGAGGAGAGTAGGTGATAATCTGATGGGTTGGGGCAGGGAGTTCCAGAGGATTGGTGACACCCTGGAGAAGTCCTGGAGGCGGGCATGGGAGGAGGAGACCAGGGAACTAGAGAGAAGGAGGTCTTGTGAGGAGCGGAGTGTGCGTGTTGGGTGGTACTTGGATATTAGGTCAGTGATGTAGTTCGGGGCAGTATGGTGGACGGCTTTGTACGTCAGTGTTAGGATTTTGAATTTGATTCGTTGGGCAATCGGAAGCCAGTGGAGGGTTTGGCAGAGGGGGTGGAGGTCAGTGGAGGGATTGGCAGAGGGGGGGTGGAGGACACTGAGTGGAGGCCAGTGGAGGGATTGGCAGAGGGGGGTGGCGGAGACGGAGCGGGTTGGAAAGGTGAATGAGTCTGGCAGCCGTATTCAGGATGGACTGAAGCGGGGATAGCCAGCGGCGAGGCAGGCCAGTGAGGAGGGAGTTGCAGTAGTCGAGTCGTGATATGATGAGGGAGTGGATGAGCTTTTTTTAGTGGTTTCTGGGGTTAGGAACGTGCGGATTTTGGCGATGTTGCGGGGGTGGAGTCTGCATGTTGCGGAGGTGGAGTCTGCACGAGTTTGTTAAAGATTGGACTTGGGGCTGGAAGGATAGGTTGGAGTCCAGAATGACACCACGTACTCTGGCCTGCGGGGCGGGTTTGATGGTGGCGTTGTTGGACTTGATGGAGAAGTCAATGTTCATGAAGGTAAAAATGATTGTAGGCCCATAATAGCCATTACACAACAAATGTCTTTGTTCTACAATTTTGTCATTTATATAAATAACAATGAGGGTGAAATCGTCTTGGAAATTAGCTGGGACAATTAAACGGAGCCCTTAATAAAGAACATAAACCAATGTTGCTCGAAAGAGATCCTGACAGCGTTCCGAATGATACGTGGTCATACTGCTTCTACTAAGTTTTATCATATCTCCAAATTTTCTGGTGTCAGAAAGAGGGACACCTTTTAGGACAAGTATGTAGGAAAAGGATACACCCCCTATACAAAAGCCATGAAAAATTAACTATTCTAACTTCAATCTCTCTGGATGTACATAGCTGAAGTGGTTAGTATGCCAAAACTAACTGGTTAGACACTAAGGCTGGCCATACATTATACAATTTTCTTGAGAATCTGTAGATTTACCAAAAACCATATAATAGGAGGTCAAACCTAAACAACGCTTTCAATTGTATTTAATTAGGCGGGCCCTTGCACTACATAGTTGATGGTAAATCTAAAGAAATTTGGGCAGAAACTGGACAGAAAATTGTATAGTGTATGGCCAGACTAACTTGCTTATAGTCCTGTCTGCTATATCTGCAGTGAGATAAGAGGATCAGCAAAGCTCAGTCTTTGTGCAACATCACAAGGCAGCGAAGTCTGCACCTGCATTGAACAAATATGATTTGATCCTCTGAGACAGGGGTCTCCAAACTTTCTAAACAAAGGGCCAGTGTACTGTTCTTCAGACTTTAGGGGGGCCAGTCTGTGGTCATTGGGAATTGTTCTGGTGTCAGTGGGAGTAAACAACGCATCTTTGGTATTATGGGGAGGAATAGTGCCCCATTGCTGGTGTCAGCGGGAAGAATAGTGCCCTATCATTGGTGTCAGTTTGAGTGCCTCATCATTGGTGTCAGTTTGAGCGCCTCATCATTGCTGTCAGTTGGAGTGCTTCATCATTGCTGTCAGTTGGAGTGCTTCATCGTTGCTGTCAGTTTGAGTGCCTCATCATTGCTATCAGTTTGAGTGCCTCATCATTGCTATCAGTTTGAGTGCCTCATCATTGGTGTCAGTTTGAGTGCCTCATCATTGCTATCAGTTTGAGTGCCTCATCATTGGTGTCAGTTTGAGTGCCTCATCATTGGTGTCAGTTTGAGTGCCCCATCGTTGCTGTCAGTTTGGGTGCCCCATCGTTGCTGTCAGTTTGAGTGCCTCATCGATGCTGTCAGTTTGAGTGCCTCATCATTGGTGTCAGTTTGACTGCCTCATCATTGCTGTCAGTTTGAGTGCCTCATCATTGGTGTCAGTTTGAGTGCCTCATCATTGGTGTCAGTTTGAGTGCCTCATCATTGCTGTCAGTTTGAGTGCCTCATCATTGGTGTCAGTTTGAGTGCCCCATTGTTGGTGTCAGTTTGAGTGCCTCATCATTGCTGTCAGTTTGAGTGCCTCATCATTGGTGTCAGTTTGAGTGCCCCATCGTTGGTGTCAGTTTGAGTGCCTCAGCATTGCTGTCAGTTTGAGTGCTTCATCATTGGTGTCAGTGGGAAGAATAGTGCCCTATCATTGGTGTCAGTTTGAGTGCCTCATCATTGCTGTCAGTTGGAGTGCCTCATCATTGGTGTCAGTGGGAAGAACAGTGCCCCATCATTGCTGTCAGTTTGAGTGCCTCATCATTGGTGTCAGTTTGAGTGCCTCATCATTGGTGTCAGTTTGAGTGCCCCATCGTTGCTGTCAGTTTGGGTGCCCCATCGTTGCTGTCAGTTTGAGTGCCTCATCGATGCTGTCAGTTTGAGTGCCTCATCATTGGTGTCAGTTTGAGTGCCTCATCATTGGTGTCAGTTTGAGTGCCTCATCATTGCTGTCAGTTTGAGTGCCTCATCATTGCTGTCAGTTGGAGTGCCTCATCATTGGTGTCAGTGGGAAGAACAGTGCCCCATCATTGCTGTCAGTTTGAGTGCCTCATCATTGGTGTCAGTTTGAGTGCCTCATCATCGGTGTCAGTTTGAGTGCCTCATCATTGGTGTCAGTTTGAGTGCCTCATCATTGGTGTCAGTTTGAGTGCCTCATCATTGGTGTCAGTTTGAGTGCCTCATCATTGGTGTCAGTTTGAGTGCCTCATCATCGGTGTCAGTTTGAGTGCCTCATCATTGGTGTCAGTTTGAGTGCCTCATCATTGGTGTCAGTTTGAGTGCCTCATCATTGGTGTCAGTTTGAGTGCCTCATCATTGCTGTCAGTTTGAGCGCCTCATCATCGGTGTCAGTTTGAGTGCCTCATCATTGGTGTCAGTGGGAGGTAGAATGCCTGTTGGTTAAAAAATTCATATGTATTCCTGGTTAGTCACAATGAATATAAATCTACTTTGTGTGCTTTAAAAATAGTGCTCACTATTTTTGGAGCCTTTTTTCCTCTCGGCCCAACTTTTAGATAGATTACAATGAATAGAATTTTCTTACCTTTCCCCATTAATCACAATGTAGCCACTCCCTCCACCCATAGAAAACCCCGCCCACTTTCATACAAGTCAATGGGAATGCAGTGACACATTTGGTCTCATTTTGGGTTGTGGGAACTTAGGAGAGTCATAGGTGTCACTGGACAGATGACAGTTATTCTGGGTATAGAGAGCTCCTCCTATAGAAGACAGAATTCTATGATGTGATGGTATCGGGTTGTCATGTCACTATTCTTACTGGTTGATGTTAGCGATGATCTAAAGACTTTTTGGTTGTTTTGAATGGAGTCGGGAAGGATTAGAACCTCTGTCAGGTTTTTAGTGCTGTCCTTGTTCCCTCTGGAGAGATCCATCCTCTCCATTTGTTCTGGTGATAATTGTCACTGGGAGAGAAAAGTGATGAGAAATCCAAAATGGGAAATCTTCCAATGGGGACACCTTTATCAGTGACCTCGGTTTACGTTTCCCCTTAACTTTATTATTATATTATTATACAGTATTTATATAGCGCCAAAGGGTATGCTCAGCGCTCATTCTTTGCTTTCTGTTGCATCTCTGAGACAGGAAATAAAAAGAAAGCCATCAAATGGGACTCAGACGGCAAAAAATAAAAAATAAATAAAAAAAAATGCCACTGCAATAGAGGTACCTCTTTAACCACTTCCAGACCAGGGCAATTTTCAGCTTTCAGCGCTATCACACTTTGAATGACAATTGCGCAGTCATGCAACACTGTACCCAAATTAATTTTTTACCATTTTTTTGAGACAGATAAAGCTTTATTTTGGTGGTATTTATTCACTGCTGGGATTTTTATTTTTTTTTTTGCTATGTAAATGAAAAAGTCCAAAAATTTTGAACAAAAGTGTTTTTTTTATAAAATTTTGCAAATAAATAATATTTCATCATAAATCTTTGCCAAAATGTATTCCATTATCTTTTTAGTAAAAAAAAAACCAAAAACAAATTAGTTTATAACCAAAAATTATAAATTTTAAACTTTTTTTTTACATTTTTATTTTATTTTTTTATATTATTATTTTTTTTTTTTTTTTTTTTTTTTTACATACTGTCACCCTAGCAGTACAGTGTCACCATGGTGACACTGTACTACTTGTGGGGGGTGATGAATATTTTTTTTTTTTTACAATGATTGCTTTTACACCCATATAGGATGTAAAAGCAATCATTTCTCTTTCTCTCTGTGTGCTTTCCTGCACTCATTGAGAAGTACTGAGTGAGCTGTGATTGGTCACAGCTTGTCACATGGTACAAGGCTGTTGTGAATAGCCTTGTACCATGTGACCTCGGTGATCATTCACAGATTTGAGACGTAGTAAGCAATGATGTCACAAGTGACATCTTGCTTACTACTTTGCATGTGATCACTGATTGGCCAATCGGTGTCCGGTGTCCGGAGGACACAGTGGGCACCGGATTGCGGTGCTGCGCGCTCCCAGGGAGTGCGCACAAGCAGGGTGTACTGCCACCGTCCAGCCGTTTATATGAAACGGCCGGTCGGGAAGTGGTTAAAGTTGAAGTTGAATCTGATTTTATTTTGCCTTCTTTGGTCCCTCCTTTCCCCTTTGCTCATCAACATGTCAATTAAAATGTCAAATAAAAAATTCAATTTCCATTATATGAGTGGGTCTCTGTGCTTCTCCATGCAATGCAGGCAGATCACGGCTGGTGGGAGGGGCCGGTAGGGTGCTGTACATAGCTTCATGAAAACATCACAGCACCCCGCCTCAGTACTCCTCTCAAGAGCCCTCAGCTCTGATGCAAGCAGTGGGTTGGCTCTTGGGAGGAGTTATGCAAATATAAAAATTCCTTAATGAGTAGATGTCAGTTGGGAGGAGTGGGAGTTCCTAGGCAGGTGTGATGACAGTAAGGCTAAGGAGGAAAGGGCTAATTGATGCTGGACGTCCTCCAGCCAGGTAATAAGGAGGACTCTATCTGACCTGTTGCAGCTTCATGAAAGGCTCTGGAGCTATGGATGACTATGGATGATGGATATGCCTGAGCATGTGGGAGCCCACCCCTCCTTACAGGTACAGGGGCTCACTGGTCAGCCAGCATATAGCACAATGGTAGCTAAGGTGTCCAGTGCGCCCCTCACCAATATACAACTTATTACACTTGCTCCATGGCTTGTCATCAGGGGTCCGGCCCCAAAAAACTCATAAAAGACAGCCGGTCCCGATGATGTAACAAAGGAAGATGGCGGGACCTGGGGTGCAGCAGCAGCGATTCCAAGACAACACTGGATTAGTTGGGAATGTATGTTTATTGAGGATGACCCAGAAGACAAGGGAAGAGTGGATTGGAGAAAAAAAAAGGGAGGTGATGTTCTTCTTTAATTATTATGATATTCCCTGGTGCCCACACAAGACATGTCCATATACATATTGCCAAAAGTATTGGCCCCGCCCTCCCAATCATGTGATTCAGGTGTTCCAATCCCCTCCCAATCATGTGATTCAGGTGTTCCAATCCCCTCCCAATCATGTCATTCAGGTGTTGCAATCCCCTCCCAATCACGTGATTCAGGTGTTCCAATCCCCTCCCAATCACGTGATTCGGGTGTTCCAATCCCCTCCCAATCACGTGATTCGGGTGTTCCAATCCCCTCCCAATCACGTGATTCGGGTGTTCCAATCCCCTCCAAATCATGTGATTCAGGTGTTCCAATCCCCTCCATGGACACAGGTGTATACAATCATACCCTAGGCATGCAGACGGCTTCTACAAACATTGGTGAAAGAATGGGTCGCTCTCAGCAGCTCAGTGGCTCCAAGCGTGGTCCCGTGATAGGTGGCCACCTGGGCAATAAGTCCATCCGTGACATTTCCTGGCTACTAAATATTCCACGCTCAACTGTTAGTGGGATTATAACAAAGTGGAAGCAACTGGGAACAACAGCCACTCAGCCACCATGTGGTAGGCCACGTCACATGACAGGGCGGGGTCAGCGCATGCTGAAGCGCACAGTGCGCAGAAGTCACCAACTGTCTGCAGAGTCAATAGCTAAAGACCTCCAAACTTGGTGTGGCCTTCAGATGAGCACAACAACAGTGCGTAGAGAGCTTCATGGAATAGGTTTCCATGGCCGAGCAGCTGCATCCAAGCCTTCCATCACCAAGTGCAATGCAAAGCGTCGGATGCCGTGGTGTAAAGCACGCCGCCACTGGGGACTCTAGAGCATGGAGCCGTGTTCTCTGGAGTGGCCAATCACGCTTCTCTGCCTGGCAATCCGATGAACATGTTTGGGTTTGGCGGTTGCCAGGAGAACGGTACTTGCCTGACTGCATTATGCCAAGTATGAAGTTTGGTGGAGGGGGGATTATGGTGTGGGGTTGTTTTTCATGGGTTTTTTCTAGTTCCAGTGAAGGGAACTCTTAAGGCGTCAGCATACCAAGACATTTTGGACAATTTCATGCTCCCAACTTTGTGGGATGAGTTTGCGGATGGCCCCTTCCTGTTCCAACATGACTGCACACCAGTGCACAAAGCAAGGTCCATAAAGACATGGAGGAGCCAGTTTCGGGTGGAGGAACTTGACTGTCCTGCACAGAGTCCTGACCTCAACCCCATAGAACACCTTTGGGATGAATTAGAGCGGAGACTGTGAGCCAGGCCTCCTCCCCCGACATCAGTGCCTGACCTGACAAATGTGCTTCTGGAAGAATGGTCCAACCTTCCCATAGACACCCTCCTAAACCTTGTGGACGGCCTTCCCAGAAGCTGTTGGTGCCTTATTTATTTATTTATTTCAGGTACTTATACAGCGCTGTCACTTTACGCAGCGCTTTACATATATATTGTACATTCACATCTGTCCCTAACCCTCAAGGGGTGTACAATCTAAGGTCCCTAACTCACATTCATACATACACATACTAGGGACAATTTAGACAGGAGCTAATTAACCTACCAGCATGTCTTTGGAGTGTGGGAGGAAACTGGAGTACCCGGAGGAAACCCACACAGGGAGATCATGCAAACTCCAGGCAGGTGATACTGTGGTTGGGATTTGAACCAATGACCCGAGTACTGCCAGGCAGAAGTGCTAACCATGTCACCACTGTGCTGCCTAATCTGCATTCACTCAGCCCCAGAACCTGTATAATAAATATGTGTTCAGTTTTAAAGGGATGAGGTGGCAACCCTACCAGGGATGTACCTGCTCCTGGCTGGTAGGCCATGAATCAGGGAGTGGACTGAAAACGTGAGATCAAATAGCTGGAAGAACAATGGGTTCAATTCAAAAAGCTGGCACACCAGGATGGGGATTATTAAACTGGCCATACACGTCTAGATTTTCAGACGAGAATATTCGTACGAAAATTCTTTGCACATTCGATGAATGGATGAATGTCATTTGAAAATTTTGCTTTTAATATTTAAGTTTAAAATGAATGTAATTTCTGAGCGATAACCACATACACTGGCTGAAAACTTGTTTGATTGGAAAAAGTTTTCAAATTTTACCATCACTGCTGTAGAAAACAAACATCGATTTGACGCCATTAACGATTAACCCCTTCCTGCCCAGTGCCATTAGTACAGTGCCAGTGCTTTTTATTAGCACTGATCACTGTATTGGTCACTGGGGATGTCAGTGACAGTCAGTTCCCCCCCAGTGTCAGAATGTCCCGCTATAAGTCGCTGATCGCCGCCATTACTAGTAAAAAAAAAAAAAAATCCCAGTATATATACCGCCATTTGTAGACGCTATAACTTTCACATAAACCAATTAATATACAATTATTGGGGTTTTTTTTTAGCAAAGACATGGAGAAGAATACATTTTGTCCTAAATTTTATTTTTTAAATTTTTTTACTGGACATGTTTAATAGCAAAGAGTCACAAAATGTTTTTTTTTTCCTCAAAACTGTTGGTCTTTTATTTATAGCGCAAAAAAAAAAAAAACCGCGCAGGCGATCAAATCCCACCGAAAGAAAGCTCAAATTGTGGGAAAAAAGGATGTAAATTTAATTTGAGTGTTGCATGACCGCGCAATTGTCAATGTAACGCAGTGCCATATTGCAAAAAATGTCCTGGTCAGGAAGGGGGGGGGGGGGGGGGGGGGGGGGGGGCTAAATCCTCTGGAGGGCAAGTGGTTAAAAAATCAAACAAATATTCTTGAAATGAAGATTCTCAGATGAAAATCTATACGTGTATGGCCAGCTTTAGTCTGGCTGAAAAAAGACAAAAGTCCATCCAGTTCAACCAAAAAAAAAAAAACCAAGTTAAAATCCTACACCCACAGATGATGCAGACGAAGGAAAAAACGCAGCAAAGCACGATCCAATTTGCTCCTGCAGGGAAAAAATTCCTTCCTGATCCCCCGAGAGGCAATTCGATGGATCAGCTCTCCCTATAATGGTTCGGTGCAGGTGCCTATGTATTTTTATTTAGCACCCCAAATGCAATGTTTGTGGGCAACAAATCGCATGGTACTGCGGTGCATTTTTAAAAATGAGTGCAAGCCCTACAGTGATCCAGTGCATTTTGCAGCCCATTCAAAAGACTGGACTGTCAAAACGCATCACACAGGACCGCTCGGGGAAACGCACATGACCGCTCGGGGAAACGCACATGACCGCTCGGGGAAACGCACAGGAACGCTCGGGGAATCGCACAGGAACGCTCGGGGAATCGCACAGGAACGCTCGGGGAAACGCACAGGAACGCTCGGGGAAACGCACAGGAACGCTCGGGGAATCGCACAGGAACGCACAGGGAAACGCACAGGACCGCTCCGGGAATTGCACAGGAACGCTCGGGGAATCGCACAGGACCGCTCGGGGAATCGCACAGGACACCTTGGGGAAACGCACAGGAACGCTCGGGGAAACGCACAGGAACGCTCTGGGAATCGCACAGGAACGCTCTGGGAATCGCACAGGAACGCTCGGGGAAACGCACAGGAACGCTCGGGGATCGCACAGGAACGCTCGGAGAATCGCACAGGAACGCTTGGGGAATCGCACAGGAACGCTCGGAGAATCGCACAGGAACGCTCGGGGAAACGCACAGGAACGCTCGGGGAATCGCACAGGAACGCTCAGAGAAACGCACAGGAACGCTCGGGGAATCGCACAGGAACGCTCGGGGAATCGCACAGGAACGCTCGGAGAATCGCACAGGAACGATCGGGGAAACGCACAGGAACGCTCGGGGAATCGCACAGGAACGCTCAGAGAAACGCACAGGAACGCTCGGGGAATCGCACAGGAACGCTCGGAGAATCGCACAGGAACGCTCGGGGAATCGCACAGGAACGCTCGGGGAATCGCACAGGAACACTCAGAGAAACGCACAGGAACGCTCGGGGAATCGCACAGGAACGCTCGGAGAATCGCACAGGAACGCTCGGGGAATCGCACAGGAACACTCAGAGAAACGCACAGGAACGATCCCAGAGTGAAGGACCCAACCC